CAGCCTGGATGGCTTGAATCATGGAAACTTAACTTCCTCGCTGTCTTAGAGGCCAGCAGTCTGAAATCAAGTGAAGATTTAAGCCTTGAGGGTGGAGCTACATAAATTGCTTGGAATTTCCATACAAGGAAGATTTGCGGCTTCTTTCTGATTTATTTTCTTAATGCATGCATGCGTGTGTGTGTGTGTGTGTGTGTGTGTGTGTGTGTGTGTGTGTGTGTGTGTTGCTGGTACTAGGGCTTAAACTCAGGGCCTCCCACTATCAGCTACTTTTTTTTCTCAAGGCTGACATTCTACCCTTTTGGAAATCAGTGTTGCACAGACTTTTCTGCCAGTATTGGCCTTTAATCCGAATCATCATATCTCAGTTTCTTGAGTAGCTAGAATCACAGGTATGAATGGGGACCAGTATTTACCAAAGCTTATTAACTTTTAAAACCATATATCCTTGACTCATCTATCAGTCAACATATCAATAAACATATACTATTTTTTTTTTTACTTTAGGAAAGAGATACATTTCTTTCTTTCTTTTTTAATTTTATTTTATTTTTGTGAACATACTGTACAGAGGGGTTACAATTACATGGGCAGGATAATGCGTACATTTCTTATCAAGCATTGCAGCCTCCTCCTTTGTTTACCCTTCACATCCCTTCCCAGCCTCCCCCCTACCCCCTCCACCCAATCCTCCCCCTCCCCCCCCCACCAATGTTGTAAAGCTCGAATAAACATAAACTATTATTTTTATTTTAACTATTTTAGAAGAATATTTGGATGATTCCTAGATAACAATTTATCTTAATCCATCCAGATTGTTATAACAATAACAATAACAAATAAATACCATAAACTAGGTGGCTTGTAAACAACAGAAACAAACACAGCACCAATAGCTCACATCTGTAATCCTAGCTGCTCAGGAGGCTAAGATCTGAAGATCACAATTCTAAGTCAACTCAGGGAAAAAATGTCTTTGAGACTTTTCCAATCAATTAGCAAAATCTGGAAGTGGAGATGTGGCTCAAGTGTTAGAATGTCCACCTTGAGCAAAACAACTTAAGGGACAGTGTGAGGCCCTCAGTTCAAGCCCCAGTACTGGCATAAAAAAAAAAAAAAGAAAAAAAAAAACAATAGAAACTTACTTACGTGGATCATGAGGCTGGGAAGTTCAAGATGAAGTCCCAGGCAGACTCAGTGGCTGAGGGCCTGTCTCATCTTATTCTGTTATCATAACACCTTTCAAATGAGTGGTTTATGGAGATAGGAAGTGCACTGTGGCTCATCATCCTGGAAGCTGATAGTTTCCAGACCAAGTGGCAACATCTGGGTTGCACAATATATACTGAAGATCAGTCACATTTTGTAATACACTACTTGAAAGTAACTAGTTTAGCCCTTCAAGGATGAGAATCTAGACATGATGATAGAGCTATTCAGGAGGGCCTTAGGCCCATGACACAGATGCCTTCCAACAAGTTCTCCCCCTCCTCTAGCACTGCCCAACCAAGGAATGACGGTTCCAACACAGGACTTTGTAACACCCTCAAGCTATAGCTGGACCCTTTACCTGCTTCATAGATAGTAACATGGTGCTGTGTGCTCCCAGGATTAAAGGATGGAAAAGATCCTTTGGATCTGTTTTATAAGGTTACTAATCTCTGTCTTGAAGACTCTGTCCTGAAGCCTTCATCACCTCCCCAAAGTGTCTATCTCCCAACATCATTGCCTTGAGGGTTAGGAGTTTTGTTTTATTTTGTTTGGTTTGGTTTGCCAGTCCTAGGGCTTGAACTCAGGGCCTTGGCGCTGTCCCTGAGCCTCTTTATGCTCAAGGCTAGTGCTCTGCCACTTAAGCTACTGCACTACTTCTAGCCTTTTTTGAGTACTTTATTGGAGAGGAGAATCTCACAGACTTTCCTGCTCCAGGGCTGACCTCAAACAGAGATCCTTAGATCTCAGCCTCCTGAGTAGCCAGGATTACAGGAATGAGCAACCTAGCTCAGTTAGGAGTTTAATGTATAAAATTTAGAGAACAGGCATAGATCATACTTAGTAACTTAAGAAGTAAACCCTAGGCACGCACATTTATAAATTAGTTCTAGCTTCCACATATGAGAGAAAAATATACATCCTTTCTCTTTCTAGGCCTGACTGGCTTACTTAATATAATTTTTCCAGGTCCACCCATTTCTTTGCAAATGATGTAATATTTTTCCTAATGGATGAGTAAAATTCATTGTGTATATGTACCATGTTTTTTAAATCCATTTATCCACTGAGGGGCATCTGGGCTTATTCCAAACCATGGCTAAGGGAAATAGTGCTATAATGAAGATGATTTGCTGGTGGATTTAGTGTCTCCTGACTAATCTTCTTTTTCATTCGTTTTTAATTGTTATAATAAAGGTGATATATATATAAGCCAGAAAAAGAGTTCATTTCCCTTTGGACAATGTCACCCCTTCCCTGGCTCTCTCCAAGTTTTTCCCTCCCATCTCCACCCACATAGTGTCTAGTGAGTACCACTGCTGCATTTGTTCACCCTTTGTCACTACATTCCTGTGACCCACCATACCTTCATAAAGACAGATACATGAACAGACAAGACAAAAGGAAAAGAAAAACAGCACCAAAGATAAAACCTCTTGTTCCTGTTTCCTGGAATTTGTTCTGATAAATATTATTTTATATGATTAGAGACACATAGGGATTGTGCCATTGTGATCCTCTCCTAAGAATATCCTCCTGTGTGCAAATGCCTAGAGACCTATATAAGTTATCATGTCCCTGACTTAATCTTTCAGATAAATGCCCAATGTGGAATTGTAGTATCATAGGGTAGTTCTATGTGTAGCTTTTTGGTGGTTTTTTTTTCCCCTCAGTCCTGAAGTTTGAACTGAGGGCATGAGTGCTGCCCCTGAGATCTATTACTGGAGCTGCAGCTCTGCTTCCAGTTTTCTGGTGGTTAAATGGAGATAGAGTCTCATGGATTTTCTGCTGGGGTTGGCTTTGAACTGTGATCCTCAGATCTCAGCCTCCTAAGTAGCTAGGATTACAGGCGTGAGCCACCCAGCTCACCTGGCTAGGTTTAGGGTATTTCTGTTGTTGTTTTTTGTGTTTTTAGAAACTTTCACACTGCTTTCTAGAGTGGTTGAATATGTTTACATTCCCACAAATAGTGTGTTAGGGTTCTTTCTCCCGCACATCCTGTCCAGCATCTGTTATTCATATTCTTGATGATGGCCATTCTAGCCTGGGTGAGATGAGATCTCAGTGTTGTTTTGATTCACATTTCCTCTATGGAGTAAACCCATACAGTGTTGTATGCAATTGTACACAAATGTATGAACTATGGTATTTGTAGGGAAGAATTCAAGCAGGTAACTCCTTAGAAAAAAAATGACTCACATGAATACCAGGACATTGGCATTTGAAAGGTGCTGAAGGTGGAGGAGTCAAAGGGAGGGGGGAGACTCCCAAAGGGAGGAACCATAATATGCAGTGCAGAATATGCATTCATAATATGTAATGCATAGCCTATGAAACTAAGAAAATTGAGGAGAGGGTTTGGGTTAGATATAGCTTGTGTGTGTGTGTGTGTGTGTGTGTGTGTGTGTGTGTGTGTGTGTGTGTGTGTGTGTGTGTGTGTGTGTGTGCTGGTCAAGGGGATTGAATCCAAGGCCTGGGCACTGTCCCTGAGCTCTTTTGCTTGACACTAACTCTAACTTGAGCTACAGTCCTACTTCTGACGTTTTGCTAGTTAATTGGAGATAAGAGCCTCACAGACTTTCCTGCCCCAGTTGATTTTGAACTGTGGTCCTCAGATCTCAGCCTCCTAAGTACCTAGGATTATAGGTGTAAGCCACCAGCCCTGGCTAAGAGCAGATTTTTTTCCCAGAGTTATATAATGTAAGTAATTATGTAGCACTTAAGACTACAGAACTGTGTAACTCTCACTGATCTTTTAATAAGCAAGTTATATAACTGTTTAAGACTATGCTCAGCTTAGACAATGAGTGAGTTCTCTTTAGACCAACAACGAAGCCATCAGTAGCTTCATGGCATATGGCAGATTGGCAGCATTGACTTACAAAACCAAGGGTCCCATAGCCAGGTTGTTAGAGTGAATTAGACTTTGCCAGAAAACCATCCAGGTACAAAGAACAAAGAAAAGGTTTATTGCCAGTAAAGGGACCAACAAGACTCCTTCTCACAAGAGAGAAGAAGCACCAGCTATTGTGTCTGGTGTTGGGTGACCTTTTATAACCTACAAGATTTAGGAGGTGGAGACCCTAGTGTGGACGTGAGGCCCAGGGGCTTCATCATGGCGGACTAGGATTTATGGCTGCTTCCTCAGTAGTAGATAAGGGGCCTCCAGCTGCTGGTTACTCTAAGGGATCTTGCTTCCTTATATGGTGATGGCTGCCCCAGAGGAATGCCATCTCAAGGTAAAGGGAGGGGGAGGGCTGGAGGCTGATTATTTCCTGCCTTTACTAAATGGGCCTAGTGTTGCCTAGGAAAGGAGCATGCTAAGCTATGGGAAGGGGAAGAAGCGTGCTAAGATATGGGCAAGTAGCTCATTGGGCTAACACAGATGCCGGTGGCTCACATCTAGAATCCCAGTACTCAGGAGGCAGAAATCTGAGGATCACAGTTCAAAACCAGGCCAATCAGGAAAGTCTGCGAGACACTTATCACCAGTTAACCACAAAAAGCCAAAAATGCAACTGTAGCACAAGTGCTAAAGCACTAGCCTTGAGCCAAAAAGCTCAAGGACAGCACCCAGGCCCCTGGACCCACACAGCCTCAAAAAATCTTAAGTCCTTTGTGGTGTACTGGGAGCTAGCATGCATGCATCAGGCTTTTCCTGCACACAGAGGAAGACTCTTAACTGGAATGAGACTTTCCAGGTATCTTTCATACCTCCCTCTTTCTGCCTTGTGGTGCACAATACTGATGAATATTTCTTTCCATTGTCACCCTTTTTTTTTTTTTTGCAGATATTTCTGTCAGCCTGTTAGCCGTTGTGGTGAGCTTCTGTGGGCTGGCTCTGTTAGTGGTCTCACTTTTTGTGTTCTGGAAGTTGTGCTGGCCTTGCTGGAAAAGCAAACCTGTTGCCCCCAGTGCAAGTGCAGCTCCACAGAGCCCTTCCCAGGCTCCCACCCAAGTCTTGGAGACGGAAGAGAAAAAAGAAGACCAAGAACAAGAAAAGCCCGCGGTAAAAGCTATGGAGCCCGCAATCAAAATCAGCCACACTTCCCCTGACATCCCAGCCGAAGTCCAAACAGCTTTAAAAGAACATTTAATTAAACATTCACGCGTGCAAAGACAGACGACTGAGCCAACATCTTCCTCCCGGTAAGGAAAGATAAATACACACTCGTGCATGTGTGTATGTGTGTCTGTGTCTGTGTGTCTGTGTTGATTTCAGAAGAGCAAGGAACTTAGGAAAGCAGTAATGTAGAATCTTTTCAGTTTAGTTTCATCAACCAAGAAGTAGTGGGGAAAAATACCAAACAGGCATGTGAAATGTATAGCATGGAGGTCCTAAAGATTAGGAACCATGTAGTAGTTCATGATCCCATTAACAAAGACCAATGTTTAATCTAGAATTAGCACTTACTCTAGAAACAGAAAAGTCACTCATGAGTACAAAAATCTCATAGTGAGGACTTCCATACAAGTCTTTATTAAGAGAAATTCCAAGTTTCCAGTCAGGGAGGAGAAAGGAGACAAAACCCAAAAATACTCATTGGAAGAAAATTAATCAAGCTGCACCAGTGACTTACACAGTCCCAGCAACTCTGTAGGTTGAGATCTGAGGATCATGGTTCAAAGCTATCTGGACAGAAAAGTTTGTGAGATTCTTACCTCCAATTAGCTAGCAAAGAAAAAAGAAGACAGAATTGGAAGTCTGGCTCAAGTGGTAGAGTATCAGCCTTGAGTGGAAAAAAGTTAAGGGAGAGTACAAGGCCCTGAGTTCAAGTCCCAGTACCAACACACACAAAATAGTAATAATAATAATCTGCCATAGTATATTCAAATGGTATTCACGATGAGATCCAAGCCAAGAACCTGTAATCCTAGCTACTCAAGAGGCTAAGCTATGAAGATCATGATTCAAAGCCAGCTCAAGCAGAAAAGTCTGTGAGACTCTTTATCTTCAATTAAACAACAACAAAAAAAAAAAATAAAAAAGAGCCACAAGTAGAGCTGTAGCTCAAATGGTACAGCACTTGCATTGAGCAAAAAAGCTCAAGAAAAGCAACCTAGGCCCTGATTCAAGCCCAGGACAGCACCAAAAAAAAAAAAAAAATGAAGAGGTATTTTGTTCTGCTAAGTATATATCCATCCTTAAATGACAGCATGACAGTGGCAATTTCTCTCTGGTTCACACAATAGCATCTGGTTTACACAATAGCATCTGGTTTTATTTTAAGGCAGGGTGAATTCCAAAGCTAATTTGTAGGATGTGAGCCCATGTTTCTCACTAACTAAATTCCCTCCTAAACTAACCCTCCTACCTCTCCAAGCCCGGGGTGCATCAACGCTGTCTGCCATGACATACTTTTGTGGGTTTACAAATGTGTCAAATTGGAAAACTGGGTCATGTTTGTTTGCTAGGCCTGAAGGGCTATTCAACATACCTTTTGTGAAGATAAAAGAGGATTTGTATTTATAAATAAATCCATTCTAGAAGGAGAACAGGAATTTTTGTTATCCTTTCAGATAGGGAACTTCAGGCTCAGGAAGATAGATGGAGGATTCTTTTTTTTTTTTTTTTTGGGTCCGGTCGTGGGCCTGAACACTGGGCCTGGGCGCTGTCCCTCAGCTCTTCATTTCAAGGCTAGCGCTCTACCACTTGAGCCATAGCACTACTTCCGGCTTTTTTCCTTTTTGCTTATGTGGTGCTGGGGAATTGAACCCAGGGCCTCATGCATGCAAGGCAAGTGCTCTACCACTGAGCCACCTTCCCAGCCCTGGAGGATTCTTTTTTATGTGACAATCACGGCATGCCTCATACTTATTTCATTGCTAACTTTTTCTAAACAGTGGCATTTGACATTTTAACAATTATTTTTGTGATAATATAAGCCAATAAATGTTCATTTTAATTATGGATACTTTGGTTATATAATAACTTTCCAAAATATTTGTTTTTTACATGTCCTAAAAATGAATAAAACAGGTATGTAGGAGGAGTTGCTCTTTTCTTTCCTTTTTTTTTTTCTTTTTGTGCCAGTCCTGGGTATTGAACTCAGGGTCTGGGTGCTATTCCTGAGCTTTCTTGCTCAAGCCTAACACTCTAACACTTGAGCCACAGCTCCACTTCTGGCTTTTTGATGGTTAATTGGAGATAAGAGTCTCACAGACTTTCCTGCCTAGGGCTGGCTTTGAACCATGATCTTCATATCTTAGCCTCCTGAGTAGCTAGGATTGCAAGCCACCAGCACCAGCTGAATTTACTCTTTTCTAAAACATTGTCCCAATGTGTGTAATCTGGGTGAAGGTGACTCATGTAGTTCCTTGATCATCTTTACTACAATCCCTGAAAATTGTGACAAAATATTATATTTAATCTATAATAAAAATATTCTATTTAATTTTCTGTGTAGACTGGTACTGAGCTTGAACTTAGGGTCTCTTGTTCACTCTTGGCTTTTTCATTCAAGGCTGCTGCTATACTTGTTGAATCATGTCTCCATTTCTAGCTTATTGTTAGTATATTGGAGATAAGAGTTGCAAGAACATTTGTGCTGGGCTGGCTTTGAACTGTGATTTTCAGATTTCAGTATCCTGAATACTTAGGATGACAGGTGTGAGCCACCAGTACTTGGATTTGATACTAATATTGAATTAAACAGCAAAACATTTAAAAATGCCAATGCTAGACAGGTGCCAGTGGCTCACGCCTGTAATCTTAGCTACTCAGGAGGCTGAGATCTGAGGGTCACAGTTCAAAGCCAGCCTGCGCAGGAATGTCCATGAGACTCTTATCTCCAAAAAACCACTAGAAAACTGGAAGTGGTACTGTAGCTCAAGCACTAGAGTGCTCACCTTGAGCTGAAGAGCTGAAGGACAGCGTCCAAGTCCAGAGTTCAAGCCCCACAACTGACAAAAAAATAAGTAAATAAAAGGGCTGGGAAGGTGGCTCAGTGGTAGAGCGCTTGCCTTGTATGCATGAGGCCCTGGGTTTGATTCCTCAGCACCACATAAGCAAAAAGAAAAAAGCCGGAAGTGGTGCTGTGGCTCAAGTGGTAGAGTGCTAGCCTTGAGCTGAAGAGCTGAGGGACAGCGCCCAGGCCCAGAGTTCAGGCCCCACAACCGACCCAATAAATAAATAAATAAATAATGCCAGTGCTACCCTTTATCTGCAGAGATGTCCTGAAATTTTTTCCAGATGCCTGTAAGCACCAAGCTAATAAATAAGGAAAATGGATGCACTTTCCCCTTGCATTCATAACTGTGATAACATTGAATTGGTAACTTAGAAATAGTTAAGAGATGAATAGAAATGACCAATAATGAAACAGAATGAGAACAACAATATATTGTAATGACAGTTGTGTGCCTTCGGTCTCTCATACCATGTACTGTGTTCACCTTTCTTCTTGTGATGCTGTGAGAAGATGCAATGCTTACATCATGCTATGTACTGTGAGGTAGTGCATGGCTGCCATGTAAGGTTACTGGAGCACAAACATCGCTGTGTTATAGCAGTATGTTTGATAACCAGATATGCAGTAAGTGACTGCAAGGCAGGTAGCAAATACAAGGTGGAAATATGGGGGGACAGAAGGAAGAGTGAGCCATACGCTGACTGCAAACAAGCAGAATAGACTGAGAATTCCTTACACGAGTCAGGAAAGTAACCAAATTAAAACTTATAAACTCAGCTAGACACTGGTGGCTCACACCTGTCATCCTAGCCACTCAGGAGGCTGAGACAGAAGGATTGTGCTTCAAAGCCAGCCTGGATAGAAAATTTCATGTGAGTCTTATCTCCAATTTGCTAGTAAAACCTAGCAGCGGATTTGTGACTCAAATTGATAGAGCTTCAGCCTTGAGGGAAAAAAGCTAAGGGACAACACCTAGACTCTGAGTTCAAGCCTCAGCACTGGCATAGTGAAAAGAAATGGTTATGAATTACTTCTGGAACTTTCACTATATCCAAAACATGCCAATGCATTAACTAATATTATATCCAGTATTGTTCAATATATCCAGGTTTTAATTTACCACTGATAATAGAGGCAACCGGCATCTAAAACCAAGGAAAAAAGTAAACTAAGGATTAAAGAGTACTATATTAATGACAGTAATATTTATTCAACTTCTTTCAGTTGGTGAGTATACCTTACATAGGAAAACTTAATTTGTAAAGAAATTTAAGGTAGCCTATGTTTTTCAGAAACCTCAAACAATATTCTAGTTATATTATATTTTCTGTTCAGTATTGTAAGACTGATTGCCCTAAGCTATGGGAGAATGAAAGAATAAATTCTTGAACAAAACATGTACAAAGCCAGGCACTGGTGGCTCATTTCTGTGATCCTTGCTATTCAAAAGGCTGACCCCAGAGGATCATAGTTAAAAACCAGCATAGGCAGAAAATTTCTCAAGACTCCATCTCCAATTAACCAGCAAAAAGCTGAGTTGGAGTTGTGGCGCAAGTGGTAGAGCACCAGCCAAGAGCAAACAAGCAAACTGACTGAAACTCTGAGTTTAAGCCTAGGTACTGATAAAAAAAAAAAAAACAACACCCACACACTATGTAAAGATGTGGCTTTGGTATGAATTGGCTTGGCACAATCAAGATATGTCATTTTATCCATGATTTCTCAGTAATTATGTGACCAAAACAGTGATTATGTCAGAAAACCTTCTGTCAATCTTCAAAAACATGGAATTAGATTGTACATATCTAGTATTTTCTGAGAGGAAAAAATACAACACAAATTCATAGTTTTGCCAGAACTTTGCTATCATTTCATCTGTTTCTTTGAAGTTCTGTGTTTACATGAGTGGCTAGGCAAGGAAGAGATAAATGAATTTTTTTAAATTGTTATTTATTTTTTATTGTGAACATACTGTACAGAGGGGTTACAATTACATGGGCAAGATAATGAGTACATTTCTTATCAAGCATTGTAGCCTCCTCCTTTGTTTCCCCTTCCCATCCCTTCCCAGCCTCCCCGGCCCTCCCACCCAATCCTCCACCCCCCCCACAAAGTTGTAAAGTTCGTTTTCGACATGACAACTTGTACTTCTCATTGTTGCAACGGATCCACCTGTATCCTTATTTAAATGACTTGTTTTTCCCCTTCCCCTACACAAATTATACCGATAACAAATAC